TATTTTTTTTTTTTTAATGCTTCCTTTCTCCACTATAGTTGCTTTTCCATTGGTGCAATTTTCAAATGAAGACTCAAGAGAACAGGACCAAGGTACCCTCGTTTGTGTGGTAGAAGGAGGGTAGAACTGTTTTAGGGTAGACATTACACTTATGTAAGTACTATACAGCAGCATATTGCAAACAAAGAAGGCTGATCCTGGCCTAAGAAAAGAGAACAGCATGGGTATAAATAGGCATTCTTTTCACTGTGAGATAGATAAGCCATCATCTGGTGTTTGTCCATGTGTTACAAATAGGACAGAATTTAAGCCAGTGAGCCCAGAGGAGCCTAAAAACCTGGGACACTTTACTTTTCTCCCACCTTCTCCTCAAGATAGATTGCAGGGATGGCCAGACCATTCCAATGACAATGAGAGCTATAACAGGATGGCCCAGAGAAGATCCAGGTTTTGTGAAACCTGAATTTCTTATACTTTGGGGAACTTCTTTCAGTAAAAGGTATATTTTGAACACAAAATTGCAAGGGGCCCTCCCCAGGTGAATGTACCTCTGGGATGAAAAAATTTATAACATTAAGAAGTTTTTATTTTATGATTTTATATACATATATTATAATTTTATGTATTTTATAGAAATTTACTTATTCAATATACTTATGCAGTCATCTTTATGCATTTTTTAATGTATAAATGTAGTTGATCTACATACCATCCAGTCATTTTCATGTTTTTCCTGGTGATAGGCTACCTCATGCAATAATTCTTTCACATACTTCTTTTGTAAGTGAGATGTGTTAAATGTCACCAGAAAGTCATTTGCTCCCTCACGATAGATGACTCTTATGTCAAAAGGAGCCTCAGGTTTAACTGGAAAAGAAAAAGAAAGGAGGTCAGTCTATAGGGCAGTCAAGAAAATAATTATACTTTTTAAAGTTCATCCATTCTGAAAATCACATTCTTTTTCTAGGTCAGTAATCAAGCAACAAATCAGAAAACATTTATTCTTCCTGGTTCAAAGCTTGACTAGACTTTTCAGCCTCCTCTGCAGTAGAATGTAGCCTTGTGAACAACGTGAGTGGAAATGTGCACCACCTCCCACCTGGCCCAGAAAGCTTACATGTGTGACCTTATGTTTGTTCCCTTTCCACCATTTGGAGTCATATGTTGAAGACAGTGGAACCACAGGATGAAAGAAGCCTGAATATTGTTTGAAAGAGCACCATGCACACATTAGAAATACCCATTTTGGCTTTTGTGTGAGCAAGAAATAAACTTACGGTGTTTGAGATATCATGTTTTAGGGCTTATTTGTTATAGCAGCTAGTGCTAATTCTACACTAAAACACATTCACTTTGCCTTTTGAATACTACAGAATTTGTTACTAAATAGCCTCAAAGCAGGAGTGTTTAAACTTTGAGTCTTCATTATTCCAATAAATCGGGTTTTAAGCTGGGAGCCTTGTACCTCATCTCAGCTATATAGAAGCTGAGGGTCTGCATTCTGTCCCTAAGCTCATAATTTTTAGTGTGACTTTAGTCTGGTTGGTATTAGCTCTGAATTCCTCTCTAGTCTCTTTCTTCTGTCTGCCTGCTGAGCAAACTTACTCTTAGGATCACAGGCACCATATATGAAATGCTGTTGGAGGGAAATAGGTTTTATTTCAGGCAGAACCTACCCTGAGAAAGGTACTGAATTCTTTGAAAAGCATGCATGTCAAGCAGCCTCCCCATCATTGACCAGGGGCTTTCCTGTCTTGGGTTCTTAGCTGCTCTATCACCAAAGCCTGGGACGTTTGTTTTCTAAAGATGGGGCAGCCACTTTTTTGCATGGCTGGTCTCAGAGAATGAGAGCACTTAGACTAAAATCTAATCTAAACCTATGGTTAATGAGAGAGTGTGTGTTCATTAAACTCTTACCCTCTAGACTGAGCTGAATTCTAGGCTCTCTGCACTGGGCTTTATGGCAGACTTGTTGACCCAGTAACGTGAACTCATGTAATGGAGTTTGGCTCACTTACTGTAGTCACTTGCTCATAGTGGTGACCACCTAAGTTTCTCCTGCATTGCCCCAGAGATCCTGAAAAAGAGGAAGGGTCTCCTTCTTTGCCCTTGGATGTCTTGTAAAAGGGGAAGTTTATCCTTCTTTACTTTTAGATTCACTATAGAAAGGGGAGATACCCTGGGGGAACAGGAGGAAAGGGTGGTGAGTGTAGAGAAACAGACCAACAGAGAACCCCTGCCAAGCCAGTTCCTACTCTTCATTCAAGGGAATAATTAAGATTCACATTTTCAGTGAAACCTCTGATGCTAAATTCCTTGCCTCATCCCCATCTCTCAAGGTCTCATAATAATGGAAGAATTAAGGAAAGAACAGACTGATATTGATTAGATACCTACTAAGCACTTATGCCAGCTTCCACCAATAATCTCTATCATCACTACATTGATGAAGAAACTGAGTCTCAGAGAGGTTAATTAACTTAAGTTCAGGTTCCTATAAAATAGTTTGATATGATTTAAATCCAATTCTGTCTGATTCTGAAGCTCACTCTTCTTCATTTAGCTTTTCTTTCTGTACTCCATTATCTCACTCTGGCTTGTCCAGGTGTCTTCCAAATAGTGCTGTCTCTGGTTCAAAGAGTGTCTCTGAGCACATCAGAAAAAGTTGCTCATTTCTCAAGCAACATTTTTATAGCTTAGTTTATTCTGTGAGCAAACTGAACAATTACACAGACTCACTCTACCAAGACAAATGGGAAGGCAGGAAGCTGACCCTCTAGCCTTATCAGAGGGCCCATATCTAAAGAAGGGGGAGTGAGGGGCAAGGTGGTTGCAGGGTAGCTCTGGTCTAGGGCTCAATCAGGAACTTCCAATTTAAATTCAATTAAATGACAGTTCTGCTAACCAAATGTCACCTTAGGAACCAGAAGAAGGTGCTGCTGAGCGACATACCTCCATTACCTCTCATCTGGTTGCTTAAGGGTGCTTTTCAAAGCCTGAAGGGGCTCACCACACCCAGTTCACAAGGGCCCAGGCTACCAGCTGTGAGCACAACTACCTTTCTTCCTTGGCCTCTCAGATGTGGCTTGGTAGGTTTGCTTCTGCTGAGATATAGAAAATAGGCTTCTGAGAGCACTGGATATGTGAGATCTGGGGATTCAGATCAGCAGGGTGCTACCTGGAGTCTTGAGTAGTCACATGCTCGCTCTGTAAAATGCCATGATGCTGTCAGAGGACTGAGAATCTCTGTCTTCCCTACCTGATTTTAGAGTAGTGAATATAGATTTGCAACCCCAATGTAAACATTTAGATATGGTGCTCTTGTGCAGTGCACAAACTGACCATCCATCCATAACAGCCTAGTCTCCAAATGACCAAAACCTACTTTGCTTGTGTCCTATATTCAGAATTACCTTGCAGTTACATTGGTTGTGGCCTATGTTGCTGTGTGTTCAATATGCACAAACCATTTGCCTAATGTCTCTTTTTCACTATCTGAACTTTTATAGGGTAATTATTCACACATGGAACTTTTGTTTTCATTCTTTATTTTACCAACTTAGTGAGGCAAAGCTGAGACTAGATTCAAAGTTTCTCACCTCTTTATTGTCTCTAATGAGTATTATTCTTTTACCTTTAATTTTCTTTTGGGATGGTGAAGAATGGGTTGAAAATAGGGAGAGTGAGCCATAGTACTTAAAACCAGCAAAAGAATGGATGTACCTCTTCTATCACTTTGACCAGTTTCCCTCCTACATATATTATTTCATTTGTAAATCTCCATAGGTATAATAAACACAAGTAGTCATTATTCCATTGCACTAATGCGTCATAATTGGCTTAGACATTCTCCTATATCAGAGTCTCTCTGAGGTTTTGAATGTAACTTTATTCATCCTAGGGTTATAATCTGTAAGTAATAGAAAAGAAAATTTCTTGGGTCTATATTCTCAATCTTTCTGATTATTTTGATTTACTTGCCTGGCAACTAAATGATGAATTGGTAATTAATATTGACTTAGAGTCAGATAATTGAATGGATTTACTGATTCATATTACTATGTATATGAATATTATATAGATCAAAAGGAAACATGTAGGTGAATTTACCAATTTCGATTATAATTTTGTTTGAAATATTTTTTGACCAAATGTAATATGAATATTCTAGGCCAAATATTAATTGATATTAACTTTTCAAAATAACGTGATAATTTAACTAAACATACTCTGAATATGGTGGATATATGGGAAGAAGAATACAAGGAATTCAGGAGAAGGAAAGATGAAGAGGGAAAGGGCATCAGAGGTCCAGCTCTAGTGACTTCATGTAGAACTCTTCCTGCAATCTGTAGGTGCCAATCACTATCTTTCATGGCTGAGTTTGAAGACCCTCAAAATTCTTTTTAAAAAACTTTTAAAAAATGTTTATTTATTTTTGAGAGAGAGATAGAGTGTGAGCAGAGAAGGGGCAGAGAGAAAGGGAGACACAGAATCAGAAGCAGGCTCCAGGCTCCGAGCTGTCAGCACAGAGCCCAATGCAGGGCTCAAACTCATAAACTTTGAGATCATGACCCTAGCCAAAGTTGCACACTTAACCCGCTGAGCCACCCAGGCATCCCCCTCAGAATTCTCTCATATTAAGAATTAGTGTCACATGCTTCAAAACTTCCAGATTTAAAAAAAATTCCTTCCATTAAGGACTTTGCTATTCTCTATTGCAAAGAGCTTTCATGATTTGTCTACTTTTAACGTGCAGAAAGTCCAGACACAATCAGTGTCTTCATATATGTCCGAATGGCAAGCCTACTCCCATATACAATTTCTTACCTATCTTGACTACATTCATTTTCCTGCAAGTTATCTTTTTTCCTTTAAGCTTCACACATATTTCGCTGTCTCCAATCAGTAAGAATTTCTTTGTCCTGATGAAATACATCTCTTGCATTTTATTAAAAGTCAGGCATTTCACATCCAAAAGAGCCCCACTGTAGAAACAAAAAAGGAATCTATCTTAATTCAAGTAAGAGTTTCTGTATACAATGGAATAGCATTACATGTACATTTCAGTTTTGTGACTTCAACTCTGTCCACTGGTATGTGGGTATATAGGTGCTTGTGTGTGTGTGTGTATGTGTGTGTGTGTGTGTGTGTGTGTGAGAGAGAGAGAGAGAGAGAGAGAGAGAAATTAAATAATGTGGCTTCTTGGTACCATCACAATGGTATAATGATGATATACTCTGGCGTTACATGCAACTGAATATGAAACTGTCAAAGCCTGTTCGTGAAAAACCTGGAAAATTCTTATTTTTAAATAATTGATCATTGAAAAACAAAAATGTTTTGTAGGTGGTTAGATAATTGCTCTTTTTGATGTTCTGCAGAAATAAATTCAGGAAATAAAGCCTGTAAAGGAACATTGACCAAAACAAAGTTAAAGGAAATGATACAATAGTCTAGAGGATTATATACATAAAACCATATACACTTAATGAGTAATTTGGGGACTTTAAAAGGTAATTTTGACTGTGCTCCACTTTTACCTCATCAAAAAACTTTAAAATCAACCCTTATTCCCATGTTCCCTTTCCTCTTCCCAACTAAGATCAGTCTTTAAATAAACTGAGGAAGAGAGATTGTTGCTTATTGTACAACTAACATCAAAAGCTTCACATTGCACTTTTTTCAATAAAAAGTATAACTATTAGGTCCAGTAATAGCAGAACAACTTGTATCATACTAACCTTCCAATATATAACTATTATCAACCTTGGACAAGATATTTTTGAAAATCCTTTTTAAAAGTTTTAAAGAGTAATCAAAAGTATGCAGAAATTACAGGGAATTTTTAAAAAATGTTAACTTATTTAATTTGAGAGAGAGATAGAGAGGGAGCAGGGGAGGGGCAGAGAGAGACGGAGACAGAGAATCCCAAGCAGGCTCCATGCTGTCAGTGTGGAGTCCAGTGTGGGGCTTCAACCCATGAACTGTTAGATGATGACCTGAGCCCAAATCAAGAGTTTGAGTCTTCACCAACTGAGCCACCCATGCACTCTGAAAGGGAATTTTATCCTTTATAAAAGGGTAGATGAGCTCCTTGTTCCTGCTTTTTTCTTTTTCTTTGTTTGATAGCACTCCTCAGGTCACACTGTGACAGGCATCTAGAATCTAACAAAAAGCCACAGTTTTATTGTCTTGAGAAGTTAGAGGACTTCTTGTGTGGATGGATATTTTTAATGGGGAAAGGCCTAGAAATGAGGAAGCTATGGAGAGATCTGCATATAACCTCTGCTCATATCATTATATGTCCCTTTAATTGTCAAGTATGAAGGAAACTCTAAGGAAACCATGGGAAAGGAATAGCTAGATGACACTAGAAATAACTGAGCTGAGATTTTAGGTATTATCTCAAAAGAAAAGAGAATTTAAAGATTAATCCAGTCAAGTTAACTAACAGAGTTCAAATCAACAGTTGGCAGAGTAAGTTAACAGAATCCAGAAAACTTGTTGTCAATAATGTCTTTCCTATAGTCAAAAGCTACTACAAATGACTTAAGAAAAGAAAAATGAGACCCATAGTCAAGACAAAAAACAGTCAATGGAAACTGACCCTAATGTGACCAGATGTTAGAATTAGCAGAAAAAGACCTTAAAGCAGCTTTTGTAAATATGTTTAAGGGCTGAAAAAAGGATATGGTCATAATGATTGAATAGATACATAATGTTAGGGGTGAAATGGAAACTATAAAAGAAAACAAAATGAAAATGCTATAACTGACAAGTAAATCTAAAATCTTTAAAAATGTACTGAGTGTTGGGGCACCTGGGTGGCTCAGTTGGTTAAGCGTCCGACTTCAGCTCAGGTCATGATCTCGCGGTCCGTGAGTTCGAGCCCCGCGTCGAGCTCTGGGCTGATGGCTCAGAGCCTGGAGCCTGCTTCCGATTCTGTGTCTCCCTCTCTCTCTGCCCCTCCCCTGTTCATGCTCTGTCTCTCTCTGTCTCAAAAATAAATAAACTTAAGAAAAAAAAATTTTTTTTTAAATGTACTGAGTGTATTGGAAGGACTTAATAACAGATTGAAGATGGCAGAAGAAAGGGTTGTTGAACTTGAAGATAGATCAATAGAAATATTAAGTCTGAAAAAACAAAATCTCAGTGACCTGTAGGATGATATCAAGACTATTAATAGAAGAACACTTCCTCAACCTGAAACAGGAAATTTAGGAAGAGTCTACAATTAACATCATGCTTAATGGTGAAATTTTGAACATTTTCCCCTAAGATACAGACAAAACAGGAATATGCAGTTTCACCATTTTTACTCAACAATTTACTGGAGGTTCTAGCCAGTGTGTAAAACAGGACAAACAAGCAAACAAAAACATATCCAGGTTGTAAAGGAAGAGAAAAAAAGCCTTTCTTTATTAGCGGACAACATTATATAGACTCTCCAACAAAATTACAGGAACTAGTAAGTTGAATTCATCAAAGAAAGAATATAAAGGACAATTATATTTCTACAGACTAGTATCAAACAATTAGAAAATAAATTTTAAAACCAACAGCTCCATTTATGACACCAATGAAAACATAAAATGCTTAGAGGTAAAATTAATAAAGGATGTTCAAGGCCTTTGAAATAGAAATTATAAAATATTCCTCAGAGCTATTAAAGGAGATCTAAATAAATGAAGACATACATTCATGGATTAGCAAATTTAGTAGTAAGAAGATGGGAATATCCCCTAACTTGGTGTATGTAATATTAATCAAAATCTCAGCAGGATTTAAAAAAAATTGACAAGCTGATTCTAAAATTTATGTGGAAATACAAAAAACTCAGAAAAGCCAAAATCACACTGAAAAAGTAGAACAAATATGTAAGATTCAGAGCAGTTGATTTCAAATTTACTATAAAGCTATGATAATTGGGCAGTCTTAGCACTGGTGTAAGAATAAATAAAAGGATCAATAGAAAGTATAAAGAGTTCAGAAATAGGCTCACACATAGAAGGTTAACTGATTTTCAATACAAGTACTCTATCAATTCAATGGGAAATAGAAAATTATTTCAGCAAATTGTCCTGGAACAAGTAAACAAATGTAGGGAAAATATGACCCTGAATCTCATGCAAAATTAATTAGATACGGATTATAGACCTAAATGTAAAGGCTCAAACTACAAAATATCTGGAAGAAAACATAAGAAAATATCTTTTTGACTTTACGAGGGGACAAAGGGAGTAATGACACACAAAACACTGAAACATGAAAGAGGGGAAAAAAAGGGTGCCTGGGTGGCTCAGTGGGTTAAGCGTTGTACTCTCGCTTTTGGCTCAGGTCATGATCTCATGGTTCTTGGGTTTGAGCGCTGGGTGGGGCTCTTTACTTGCTTTTGGCTCAGGTCATGCTCTCACAGTTCTTGGGTTTGAGGCTGGGTGGGGCTCTTTACTAACAGCCTGCTTGGGATTCTTTCTCTCCCTCTCTGCCCCTCCCATGCTTGTCCACAGACATAAGTTCATGCACACACACACATGTGCTCTCCTTCTCTCTGTCTCTCTCATTCTCTCTCAATAAAAAAACAAACAAACTTAAGGGGCACCTGAGTGGCTCAGTGGGTTAAGCCTCGGACTTCAGCTCAGGTCATGACCTCACAGTTCATGAGTTTGAGCCCCAAGTCAGGCTTCTGTACTGACAGCTTGAAGCCTTGAGTCTGCTTCAGATTTCTGTGTCTTCCTCTCTCTCTTTGCCCTTCCCCAGCTCACATTTTCTCTATCAAAAATAAATAAATAAACTTAAAAAAAATCTGCTGCACCTTTACAAGAAAAAAAAGACATTGGACTTTCATCAAAATGAAAACTTTCTGCCTATTAAAGTACACCTTAAGAAAATGAAATGGCAAGCTACACACTGGCAGAAAATAGTTGTAATGAAGATATCCGACAAAGGAATTGTATCCAGAACATATAAAGAATTCATACTCATCAACAATAAAAGGATAAATAATTGGGTGAAAAGGACAAAAGGCTTTAACAGGCACTTGCTACAAGAAGACATGCAAATAGCCAGCAAGTATGCAAAATGATGGTCGACATGATTTGTTACTTGAAATACATAAATAAAAATCACAAGGTACTATTTCAAAGCCAAATGTTGGAGATGACTTTAGCTCTCACACTCTGTTGGTGGGAAAGTAGAATGGTATAACCACTTTGGAACACTGCTGGATAGTTTCTTACAGTTAAATACACACCAAGCCTATGATATAGTAATTCCATGCTGAGGTTTTTACTGCAGAGAAATGAACAAACTAATTTGTACAAAAATTTTAACAGCAACTTAAAAATTAATAGTCTCAAATTTGGAAAGAAAAAAACCTCGAATATCCATGTAAAGGAGAAAGGATTACAAATTTGTGATATATTCATTCGGTGGAATGAAAACTCAGCAATTGAAAAGATGAGATCTGAAACATGCATCAATGTGGATAAATCTCAAAAAGAAAAGAGTAAACAGTGTGTTACTCCACTTATAAGAAGTATTGGAAACTGGCAAACCCAAAGGGTGATGGATTGTTCAAAGGGGATGGGTGGCTAGAAGGGGACAGAAGGGTAAAAGAAATGTTTTGTATGAAAGAAAGAATGAAAAGTATGTACACCTATTGCAACAATAATTAAACAATGCAAAATAAAAATAAAAGTACTCATTTCTCTTTCTTTTCCAATCGTCAATTTAATTTCTGTCTCCTGTGATAAACATGATTACCAATTTGTTTTCCTATATGCTCTTCCAGCCAAATAGCCCTGAAAAGAGGGATAGCTGGCTCAAATTGGAAGTGGGGATTGTAGCAAGAAAAAAAAAAAAAAAAAGAAAAAAAAAGAAAATGAGTTTGCTTACATGAAAAGAATTCTTTTCATTAACCAGATATTTTTAAAAATATCACAGGGAATATATTCCAAAAATGTCCTTTGCTACCTATGGTACAGAA